TTTTTATTGGAAGAGATTTTTTTGATCGAAGCGATCTCTTATTTCTAGAACATTGTCAAAAATTTGATGGGGGCTTGTCATAGTAGAAGGTCTTCTATTCGTAAAAATCCATTAGTTAGTGCGGCCAAGCCACTTGCGCACATTCAGAGCTACACTTTGATGACAGCGACATACTGTCGGAAAATTTTGCCTCATCAAAGCTACAGTCTTGAGGCCATAAGTCATGGACACTTCTGCATACCGAGCTTAGATCAAGGCACTTGGCAATACAGCTGTGCACTATCAAAACTATCCATAGTCTCCAATCGAATACCTGTAGAAAATACTTCTCTCTACTACCACTTGCACCAATAAGAGCAATGTCCGTGGTTCCCGATTCGGTGGCTTCAGACGATCCATAGTTCGTGGCGCTGACCAAGTCATAGCTGCGATGGAAAGTCTCTCAATTTTAGGTAATATTTGAAAAGTTATCGACACCAACACGAGTCTTTTCGCCGCGAGACATGCGGATGGTATCCATAGTCGACAGGCCCAGTATTTACGAGAACTATCGGCATATTAAAGTCGTGCTAGGTACGTATTACGATTGTACGACAGTTCTCAATATTTTATCCAATCATATTCTCGTGTTGCTCGCAAACTAAGAGCTCCAAAAAACGAATCCATGTTACCAAGCGCACAAATAGAGGATTTTGTGCGCTCTGATTAGCCTCCCAATTGGCTTAATAATAGTGGGTACTTATATTTAAAAGTGATCAGAGTCAAATTCAAACTTATCTGATTTTTTCAAGGATAAAACGACATTTTTCCGAATTAGTAGAGGCTAAAATCCCACCTACTCTATGGGCGTCTGCTTAACGAAGTCCCATCACCCGTACTAATCTGCGTACTTTGAGCCTGTGACCAAAGCGGCTTGTTTGTTCATATGAAAGCCTAAAACGAGGCTCTTTGCCCTTTGGGTCAACAAGTTTTTAAAATATTGCCTTGACCTGGAGCAGCATCGCCTCGAAATCTGTATAATCAATAAGAACCGTACTTTGGGTACTAAAGCTGGCAACGTACAGAAGAATATCGCACTTTTTTGCGAGAAGGGCTTGGCGTCTCGTCTAATATTCAGCTTGAAAAGCGATTGCCAGTAAGATAGACGTCAAGCTGGAATGTTGTGGATGCTCGACCCTTCGAATTCTAGAGCATAATGGGGACGTAAATGTGCATAATTATCAACTTAAGTTATTGCTGTCAACAACCCTGCTCATCCATATTAGCATGCTAGTATGGCTGCCAAAAAATCGCAAACTTGAAGTCCAACCGGAACCACTAGCTATTTGGAATTGTGTTTGCTAGGTGACCCCGCCTCTTTTCACAAAACGAAGTATACAAGAGTATGCCGAGTGGCAAGCGACAGCGAATTATGTACGTTCTGCCGAAGTGGGACCTCTGACGATTCTGAGTTTATGAAGGAAAATGAATTTCTCCACTTTAAAAGATGATAGTACTAGCCTTGAAGGCTTTCCAGCCTACCTTCCATTCTAAATAGAAGCTGACTAATCCTTGTCATCGAGATGTGTCTGCTGAGGAAGAGGTTCTCGCGTCTGGCACTTACACGATTTCTGTTTATTGCGACACGCTAACACTACCAGAATCTCGGCGTGCAGACAGGACAGATCAAAGTCATTTCATGAATGCGTTACTTAAGCTACAAGGGCGGCTTAAGACACCCGGAATGATTTAGAAACGTATCGCACCCTTCGAGTAGAAAGTGAATATTCGACTGCGGATGGTCTCGACGTTAATTGTCTTCGACAGAATGCTGTGCATCCGAAAAGATTGCATAAGCAAAGTCGAGGTACGGATATGTTCATCTTATTACAGGAATGTTGAGAATGCGGCTTAACTCCAAGCCGGTTACGATTCAATGCGGCCCGATGTATTGGGTCGATACTTTAGTCTCACAAACTGCATACTACGCATGTGTTGGTCAGCAGTGCTAAAAGCTGTTTTTACCAACTATGGCTTCCTTTTGTCACTGGCAGCTGCATGTTGCGTTTGCACATCCTGACTCTCAGCAATAGCGTCCAAGGACTCGGCATACGCCTCCCAGCCTCATTCAGATAAAAGCCTTATTTTTGATTCGAGGTGTGATTTGGTTGAATTTAGCAGGTCAAATGGAACATAACCGTTCTCCACCATGGCTGAGGCTACCACATTGCGGTGTCAAAGGCTCATAAAAGTAACCAAATTATTAAAAAAATACGTGAAGCCATCAGATTCTTGTCCTTTCATTCGCGCAACACAATAAGAGGGGCAACTTGCTCCAGCATCGAAGAGTCGTGTATAGTGTCAACACAAAACTTGACGAAATGTCGAGCACCGCTGTCTCTCCAGGCAACTTCTTTATAAAATATTTAAACCACGCAATTATTACGGTTTGTCGAACCATCTGTCGCTGGATGGTCTGAGGTTGACGTGTCCAATTTGATGCGAAAACCTTGGATAATTTTTGCAATAACTTAGCCGTAAAGCGCGAGTCGCCATTCTGTACGATGGCGTCTGGAAATCTATTTACGCACACGTTGTCGCGAAACGACTCGGCTAAAGTGCCACCTGTTGCACTATCCCTCACAGCAGCAAGATGAGCTACCTTGTTCAGACGGTGCATGAAGCTCGCGATGTCGGTGTAACAGGAAGCGGGTTCAAAGTGTTGACAAGTTTTACGCATGCGCACATATGTGCATACCAATATATATATGCTGCTCAACCAATACATAACGCACACCAAGCAGTATGGCTTTTCTCTCCGAGGCGGCCAATATCATGTGCCTCGCAAAGTCTTGTGTACTTGAGATTTTTATCATGACGCACTACAACACACTGGGTGTCAAGCGCACAGTGCTGTGGTGCAACATACCTTGGATATAATGATACGGTGCAGGCGTGCAACCGTGCGTAAATCGCCATCCGAATTTCTTGATTCCTGGAGCTTCAGAAACGAAACACATGCCGCGACTGGCCTGTTCGTTGGACGTATCGCCACATCAATGGGTGATGTAATATTGTCGGTGCGACGTGAAAGCGCAACCTCCACCAACTGCAGATATATTTAGCAACGAAAGATGATCATCTTGCTTTTTCCTGTAAGAGATGTGGTAACGACGCCGCCGTGTGCAATGACGCATGATCCGAGTCGATCTCAATTACCTTGAAGTGAAGTAATTTTGACGTGACTAGAGCATGCGTTTACCAGCCGCTTTTTGCAGGCGAAACTCAAACGAGTGCACGCGTTCAAGCCATCGAAGATGAGCTAAGACTAAACCGCAGCCCATTTCTTACGGATAAAGCGTCACAGACAAATTTAAATGGCCGATCTGGATTTAAAAGAGTCTAAATCCGCGTCCGACTTTACGTCCAGCTTTTTTTAATCAGAAGCAGAGACATCAACTCTAGATCGAACCTTGTAGCTCTATAACCAAATATTTTAGTAAGTAAGAAGGGTAGTGGGGAAAGAAATATGTATGATACAATTAGCTGGTCATCAGAATCTAGCGTATCATACGTATATTATAACTGATATCGTTTCTTCTGATGATTTAAATAAGGATGGTCACGCTTTAGAACTATTTTTTGAAAAATCGCGCTGGTAAAGAACATCGCTGGAGCAGCGTTAATATTCCTTCTGTGAAAAATTTCATCTTGTCATTTAAGGACACTCCGCCCAAAAAGTCATACGATGCATTGATCCTGTTCTTCATCAAGGCAATCATGCCAGTGACTCGTGCTTGCAGATACACACCGATAGAATGGTCTTTTTAAACCAGTGAATACGAGAGTCCTGCAATCCAAATTAATAAGAGTTGTCGCCACGTCGAACGTGCACCGTATTTTCGCCTGCGATACACTGTTGAGAAGCATTCCTGTTTGTTCCTTAGTGAGCACACCATACCCTCTGCGGTCTTTGAGATCGATGATACATGTGTCTTTAATAGAAGGATCGAGCAACTTCAAACGAAAAACGCCCGAATCATCACGGATGAAGATATTTTGAAAATGGTCTAGCGCATTTTTGTTCATTGTAAGCAATATATACTCATTGCTTCGACGAAACAAATGCGACGCTATCACAAGCGACCTTGGAAAAGCGACATCGAGCAGCAAGCATTGCACCCCCACCTTCTTTTGCCAAAAGCATCCATATTACTCGCATATCGTTCCTTGAAAGTCTGGTCTCGTTCAGTCAGAAATGTAAGAGCAATTGCAAGAATGTACAGCTGAATACTTAAAAAAAAGGATTGATTTTTCGAATGCGTCTGCTCGCTTAGGTGCTTGTACGATGAGTGTCACGCTTATATCAATCTCTGTCAACGAAGCCCGCAAATCCATAGCCAAACTCTTCGCAATGAAACCTTTGAGATCGGACACAGTAATACCTGCGAGATGACTGTCTTTGTACTCCTCTTTTACTGCTTCTTGCAATGTATACATATCCTCAACATCAACGGCAACGGAGCTCACCGACGTCTTCGCGCTCCAATCTTCGAAGCACTTCACATCGTTCAATATCACACTATAACTTCGAGAATGAAGATAATATGAGGCTATCGAAGAGGTTGTTTCGTGGGAAGTTTCACGAATTAAGAAATTCTAGCCCAATTCATGGGGATGGACGGAAAGGATCTGACGTCGGGTAACGCCGTTTATCGTGGATATCAAAGATGTAGTTACTTTGCGAGATGCGGTAAAGGAGAAGTGAATGAATTCTCGCAAACGTTGATGCGCCAGACCTCACAATTTTCAAGAGCCGTACGTAATACAGAATCGTTGACACCAGACTCGTTAATCGAAGCATTTGGGTCATTACTTCGAGAATCCACGTTTATTAGAAAACCTCGAAGGTTATCTCATTATGTTGTTTACGTAACCTCATAGGATAACTTACATAATTATTTCAAAAGCGTTCTTATCCAAAAGGAAACAACCTCAAGCGCTGTCTCATAAGCTTATTATTATTTTTGAAAACTCTTCTAAAATAGCCTCACATGTAACTCATACTCGTTCACGATGCGATAAGGTTTGACGTTGGCTGACGCCTTTTTCGTGAATATCGAAGATGTAACGGGGTTACACAGACGCTGATAACAGGAGTGTGTGTCACACCAGATTGGCATGGTGTGACCACACTCAAATAAGAATACGGTATAGGGCTAGATAGCCGGTAGTTATGCATGTATTTGAACTTTACTAAATTTGAGAAAAAGTGATATTTTTATAATTAGGCGGTTTTGCAGCAAAAAAAATGAATACAAATCAGTTTTGGATTTTGAACCAAAACGTCAATTAGCTTTGGGAAGGCAATGATAACTCTTGGAGTAAGCGGGTTGCGATCCGCTAAATCGTACTTGTTCTATGTATAGAACGAAAGGTCGGTGACCTTAAATTACGCTTCCTCAAGCAAAACGCTACGGCAGCCCCGCTGCACTTGGTAGCACTTGTAGTTAATCTACGTTAGTCTACACCTGAGTCGTTAAGACTGATCCTCTGTGAGGATAAAGAAATTTTCTTCTTTGCCCCAGGGCATGCAGGACGGGCTTAACAAGCTGTTGTCCTTGCTTGGCCCTGAGGGCGTACAAAACCTTGTAGCGCAAGGCTCTAATGCGATCAATGCACGTCTAGAGGCGTTTCCAAGTTATGAAAATGCGCTGCTAGAGCACCTGCAGCAGAGGATGTCTGCATCGTTTGCATCTATGACGCCACCGTCAGTGACGGATGACTTCCCCCGACCTAAGCCACTCATGGTAGGCGTTGAAGCCATTGAGGGGGAGGATGGAGAGAATCTCCTGCAATGGGTGGTAGAGGTCGAGATGACCATAGTATCTGCCATGCTACAGACCGAGCAACAGCGCGTGGCGCTAGCCATTTTAAAGCTCGGTGGTCAAGCGCGAGAATGGGCAGTGACGTGTGGGGTACTTCGGAAATTGCAGCTCTCACGAGTGTTCTCGCCGCCTAATCAGGCGTATCGCGTGCGATCACATTTCCTTGCCGCCCGACAGGGCAACAAGGAATTGGTGGACTTTGTCTAAGAGATAAGAGCTCTCATTGCCGGAATGGCAGCAGAGCCTCTCCCGTAGGTGGTCACATTGTGCGTGTTTATGGTAGGCCTATGCACTGGCGTGGCTAGAATGGAAGTCTTCCGTGAGCATCCGTCCTCATTTGAAGCGGCGGTGGATTTGGCATTGAATGCCGAATTCAATTTCAAGTCGGCGTGACTTGGTTGGAATGCACACTCCAACAGCTCGTCGAGCGGGTCTATGCCCATGGATCT